ATTCAATGTGCATTAAATTATTTAATGACGCATTAAATTAGTTAATGATAGAATTAAGTAAGATATGTGAATGAGAATGACTCGTACTTTACTCAAAACATTTTTACGTTTTTGTCAAAGCATGAAGAATTCTAAGAGATGAAATTCAATGCACACCACATTCATTTACAATGAAGTATCTAACCTATCTAAACGCAAGCATGCACGAGTCAAAGGAGGCAATTCAGAATGAAAGACATGCAAACCAGAAACGGAGGAAGTTGCCCTTGCAGATAAGATGGATAAATAGTATAAATACCACTCCTATTTCTAAAATGGATAAAGGAAGTTGAAAAACTAAATTTCATATGTCAACCAAATTACTCGAAGGTAAATGGCAACTATCCATCCAACTATTTTACAAGATGGTACAGTTAATTTCTAATGTTAGACAGAATATGCAGTAATAGTTTGGCTAATTCTCATTCTTTATTTAGGGAAGAGTTTATTCTTTTTTTCATTTGTCGATACCATCATCTAAATTAACTTTTTTTTATTTGTGTAATACAATAATTATATCTATTTTCTTTTGCTATTTATTGTAATTCACACTTTAATTATAATGTAATTTTCTTTTGGACAACATCTGAAGTTTCATATACAATGAGGAAAAAGGTGAACTTCATTCGAAAAGTTTTATATACACTATAGATTTTAATAGGAGTATACCAAGAACATTTATTAGTCCATACAACTTTACTCTTCGGATAAATTAGTGTACATCCTATTACAATCGTGACTACATTCATTCCCTTGTCTTTGTCCTTATGTTTTGATTCTAATTTCTCATTTTAATAAGATCCAGAGCTTTATAATAAGAATGTATAAATTATATTGTCTTTGGATTAACAGTTTGACACATAAATTTAATAGAGCTTTTTTAGGTTCAATCGCAATTATTAGGATAGGGAAAATGCATAAGTACCCCCCCAGCCTATGCCCGAAATACCAGAGACACACCTAACATTTACTAAGGTCCTATTACCCCCCCCGAACTTATTTTATATGTAATATTTTACCCCTTTTTGGCCTACGTGGCACTGTCTTGTGGGCCCAGCGCATGTTGACATTTTTTTTCAAGGATAGTGCCACATAGGCCGAAAAGGGGTAGACTATTATAGATATTTTAATTGAATCGCTTAAAAAAATAATACTTAGTTTAGTAAAGAATTCTACACTTGATCTGCACAGTCTTTTTATTTTATAATATGTTTCTTTTATTAAAAGATGGACATACGGACCGTATTTTAATCGGTTAACTAAATTTTTTTCAACAAATTTTTTTTTGTTAAATAGAAAAGCTCTAGAGGAGAAAAACTCTCTGCATATCTAGAGGATATCTAGACTATGGACAAAGGAAGTTCATCTGCTTTGTGAGGACTCCTACCATCGGCTACACGAGTTGTGGTTGTTGCATATTCGCTTTCACTATGGAGAAAATTGTAAGTCTTCTAAATTAGTATTTACAATTCAAATACTACAAGTAAATTTGAAGAGAAGTGTTGATATGGACAAATCTCAAAATGGAAACATAAGCCTTGAGATACACCACAGCAGAAGATAACTGATGGCTAGAAGAGGTGGAGAATGATGTAGAAAATTGATACAATTATAATAAAGTACTCTGCTCTCTATGGGAAAGTTGGGATACTTGAAACAAAAAGTGAAGAAGTTTAAAACTATATGGCACTTAGAAAAGAAGAAGGACTAGGAGGCACTGGAATTTCTACTGTTCCTTCCAGCATCAGTAGAACTTTCTTCATTGAAGGGCGAAGTGATGGTTCCTCTTGAATGCACCAATGCTTATTTCACCATTCTCTCGAATTGTCTTCTATCAACCTCCTCGTCCCTGACTAGTTTATCTAGCTCTCCTGCATCAAAGCAATTGTAAACCCAGAATTCAAGAATTGCCTCATTTTCATCAAGGCTCATATCAACAAACTTCCGCCTGCAAATCAAGTCCAATAGGACAACACCAAAACTGTAAACGTCTGCTTTCACAGTGACTGGCAGATTTCGGTGCCATTCTGGTGCAACATAGCCTCTGGTCCCTCTTATCCCTGTGTAAGTTCTTGTTTTGGTCTTTCTTTAAGAGCTTGGCCATTCCAAAGTCAGATATTTTTGCACAGTACTGATCATCCATGAGTATGTTCTGAGGCTTTATATCACAATGGATGATTTGTGTGTCACACTCGTCATGCAAATATAGGAGGCCCCTTGCAATATCTCTAGCAAAGCCACACCTTTCCTCCCACATGGGCTGTTTTTCTGGTGTAAAAAGTATGTCCGCAAGTGACCCATTGGTCATGTACTCATACACCAGAAGCCTTCTTGATCCCTCCAGGCAATAACCAAGGAGACGGACTAGATTTCGGTGATGTGTCCTTCCAATGATTTTTATTTCAGTTTGGAACTCTGTTTCCCCTTCTACCAATTCTTTGTCTAGTCTCTTAACAGCTATCACTTTCTGACCTTCTGCCAATATCCCTTTAAATACTGTTCCAAATCCCCCCCTCCCTAACGCTTCTTTGAAGCCACTGGTTGCCTGCTCTAGTTCTGCATAGGAAAATGCTCGTGGAGCAACATCCTCACATAACTGAACACTTCTACTATCCTGGATTTTTCTGTAAGTCCAGACATGAATTCTGTGAATGAGAAATCCAGAGATGCCTAACACCAACAAAGCAAAGACAGCCAATGTAATGCTGGCAATTAGGATGTCTATCCTTAGCTTTTTGCCTTTTGTTTCTTCAATCGTCTGATTAGGCACCCCTTTGTTGGGTATGAAATTAGTGCCCACCTTGACCAATACTAGATTAGAATTATCCAGTTCTCTCCTTCCATACCTCAGAGGCAGCCTTTGCTTTCTACACTCTCTGTCTTTGAACAGAGCAGCCTCACAGTTACAATCCTGTAGACAGGCTTGGTCTCAATCTTCCTTGGTCGTTCCGGCCAAAACAACATAAGTACTATCTTCCCATCCTGTGTTTTCAACTGTTCTCATAGCATAGTATTTGGAAGTGCTCTCCTTTAACCGACAGGTTTCTGCGGTGAAATTCCTTTCACAGCCTGCGCTCCAATTTCCTGGCATTACAAAATCAAATCCCGGAAGACACAAACATTTAGCTTGATCATCTATATTGGTGCAAAACCCATTAAGCCCACAAAGGCCTATTGGATTACAGCCATCATTTGTTGATGACCATATCACGGAGCTGTTCTGTTGGTTCAGAGAATGTGAATAGACTCGAAAAATACCATCAGCATCAATTTTCATCATATAGATGATGGTCCTTTCTCTAGGGTAGCCTCCTCTGGTTAGATTTCTTAGCCTCTTAGTGGAATTGTGCAAGTAGAGGAGGCCGTCATCATCAAGATTCAGTGTAACAGTATTCCCTACTCTAGAAGTGCGTGTTGAGTAGTAAGCATATGGGGCAGTATCTGGTGTATTGACAGGGTACTGAACGAGGTTCCCATCATCTTGCATTTTGAGACGGAAAATACCGTATGAATCATCTGCTACTGAAGCACTCGAGAACAGCTCTTGTCCAGCTGATATATGCTGACCTGGTAAAAGGGTGTTTGTTGGATTGTCAAAACTTTGCCATATGATACTGTGATCAGAATTATAGAGCACAAAGTTGCCAGTATCCAGCATGGAAGCTGAAGCAATGACTTGACCAGAGAGATTTACGACAGTGATTTCTTGTCCTCCTACTTGTACAATGAGCCTTCCATCATTAGTTAAGAGCAAGACAGCGTTGCTCGGAACAACAGGACTGTTCCTATTTGCTGTCCACACTGCTGTCTTCTTAGGCATACCGACAATTAAGATTCCAACAGCATAGCCATTGGTTTGTTCATAAAACCCAAAGGCAAAGCGCCTGGACGGTGAAAACCATGATGAATTGGCAGTAGGTGTTAGAGAAGAGCCAAGAGTTATATTAAACTGTCTTTGTTGTGCTAGTGTCACTGCATGAAATGCAGATAAGATTAATAACCATAGCAAAGCAGCCATAGATTTTATCTTTTCTTTACTTTGATTTGTCACAAAATTGATACACAATTCAGTTTATAATAACAACTTGGAAGGATCCAAAGACTTGAACTACTGTAGGACAAGTCAATTCATGGCAATTAAGTAAAAGACGCGTTACATAGGAGACTTGGAAATTATTCAGTCCCGTCAATTTTGAGAAAATATTGTACACGTCTAAAAGACGGATAAATTATCTTTTTTAATTCATACATATATAATCAGGGGCGGAGCCACCTTACAATTAGGGGTTCATCTTCGGCGAAAAATTATATCATTCATACATGGTTAAAATAATTATTTAGATATATATAGTAAATGTCGAACCACCTTCATCTACTTCCTGTGTCTATTTTTTCAGATTTTGAATCGCCTTATTGAAAATTCTGACTCCGCCACGGTATATAATAAGGATGTTTGAGGTAAGATAACTCAATCTTCTTCTTTATGTTTATGTTTTTTTCATTATTTAAGCATCCTCGTTTGTAATATCATCTTATAGAGTGTATTATAAACTTTGTGATGATCATAAAATACTTAGTTTTCTTTATCTCTTATTTTCGTTAGCCTAGCCCCTTTACTTGGACTTATTCACAATAAGGATTTTTATTTTATTATCATATCATCATATATTATTAAAAGTGGTAAGTTGAATTATCATATTGTCTCTCTACTAAATTAAATATCTAATCAAATACTAATATTTTATCTACATAGTAGTAGAATTTGAAGTCCTTTAATAATTAAATTATTATTATTTTGATAAATGAGTATATTAATATTGCTTTTATTCATTATGATGAATCTCATAACGGAAGAATTTGAAAAGTTATGATTGATAAAATAGTGTAACCGAAATTTTTCTTGTAAAATAGATACATTTTTCCTTCTAAACAGACTATTGTTTAATATTGAAGTAAATAATTTGAAGAGGTGCCACTAAAAAAAAAATAATACATACAAATCTCATCTATAAAGATGCATAGGTTTTTTAATATTTCTACCAAGTGTATTCATCCAACTTTATTATGAAGGGCATATATGCTCTAGTTTTTGGACGGCAGGGGAATCAATGTCCCAAAAATATGACGGAGGGTATATACATATCATTTACTATAGTTTGGAGGTATATTTGTCCTTTTTCCCATTAATAAAAAACACTACATTCACTATCTAGTAGCATAAATTTGTAAAAAAGAAGATTAAAAAAATAAGTTTTTAAAATTTTACAGTTGGATATCTTTAAATTGACAGGAGTTAATGTGGACAGTTTTTGGTAGAAATTAATTGTGCAATTTTCGGAGCCTTTCAAGTCTTCTTACTTTTTGGTAAATAGGAATTGTATACGTTGACTTAGGCTAAGTCTTTCTTACTTTTCGTGATTAAGAAATCACGTTCTATAGTGCAAATTTTTTAATTAATTTATGGTGAGAAATTTTTTTGTTTCTAATAGTGCATATTCGATTGAATTTAGAAACTTAGGTTAAAATCAATAAACTTTTTTTAAAAATTGAATTTGGTATTGATGGAAAGAGAAAATATGCTTCAAAGTAAAATTTGCAAGGTAAAAAAAAAGTATATGAACTAAACAGTAAACATAAGGTATATTTGTTGTGGTGGAAATGATAAGTATTCTTTTATTTTTAATCAGTTTCGGATATGGAGGCGCTTTTGGTGTGGAGTTGGTTTATCCTTTATTAAAATATGACTTCCCGGCACAAATCCAGATTAGTTAGTTGGAAAAAAAATAGAGGAAAAGAAAGATAAACAAAAGGTATTAATGTGAAAACAAAATGAATCAAAGCTTCTTATCAAAGTATTTAAATGTTGAATTTTAACCATTTAGTTTAATCTTCATTCTTAGTGTCTTACACCTAATGCTTTGTTGTGAAATAGGGGAAGGAAGACAGTGAAAAGGAGAAGGGAAAGTTGAATGGAAGATATGTGATGGAAAAAGTATATAGTAGGGGATTTGGGAAGGAAAAACTATTTGTTTCTTGTTTGGTTCAAAGAGGTACTCACTCCGTCCCATTTTATGTGAGATAGTTTGACTCGACACAGTTTAAGAAAAAAAGGAAGACTTTTAAAACTTGTGATCTAAAATGAACGATAGAAATTTGTGTAACTACAAATCATTTCATTAAGGGTAAAATATATATTTTAAAGTTAAATTGTTACTTAATATAACTCTTTTTGGAACTGACTAAAAAGGAAAGGAAATCATATAAATTGGGACAGAGGAGTACTAAATAAGATAGTTTGTTACAGCTTGGGTGTTCATATGCCAGCTTGGGTGCACCTCGACTCATTTACGAAACAACTTGTTACAAACCACAACCTCGACTCATTTACGACTGATTTATGTATTCTGATAAACATAAACATGAGAATTACTCATAAGAAGACAAATATATTGTGTTTTTAAGAAAGTTAAACAAAAAGTTGAAGTTGCGTCATATCATGCCTAATCATCTCTCCCCATTACTTATTCGATCTACTTCTACCTCGCATGTAAATGTAACCATCCACAATCGACCTCTTACACCTCCGGGCATCTCCTCTTCACATGCCCAAACCATCTCAGTCTTGCTTCTCGCATCTTGTCCTCCATTGAAGTCACTCCTACCTAGTCCCGGATATCTTCATTTCTAACAATTCACAACCTAGTTAGATGTTCCAAACTTTCTAAAGTAGTTTGGCCTGTATCATTGTACACACCAGGAAGAATTAAGTCAAGAGAGAAAAGGACAAGTAAATATGCTCCAAGAGGGCTAAGTTCACCATCAATCCTAAGCATGTCTAGTTCTGCAGTTCCATTGAAAGTCCTAACTGAGTGGAATGTTGAAGAAAATAATGCCTTCAGGAAGAGTATATACATTCAAACATCAGTTTTCACATTTATCAGGAATTGGAAAATTTTCACAAAGTGACTGTGCTAGTAATACCCACTTGATCTTTATTCATACAAGAAAAACCATTAGGATGGGACCATTATCATACAGAATACAACAGAAAGCCAGACAAAAGTTAAGTTTCAGTCTGTCTACCAAAATTTTGTAGCAGAGTGACAACATATTGATAAGAGAGAACCATTAAGGTTCTAGAGCTTTGAGAAAGCTTATCTTGCTAAACCATTTGAAACTTAATAAAATAGTTGATCAACTCACAATAGTATTTATCTAGCCAGTGATCATTGTTCCAGCACCTTCATCAGTGAGAATCTCAAGAAGTAAGGAATGTTGCAGCCTTCCATCGATAATACTTGCAGTCTTCACCCCTTGAGCCAAAGACCTCACACAACAATTCACCTTGGGGATCATCCCACCGGCAATCTTGCCATCATCTGTCATCTTCTTCACTCCTTTTATGTCAATCTGCTTCACCAAACTCCCAGGATCATTACGGTCTTCCAGAATTCCAGCCACATCTGTCAACAAGAGTAGCTTCTCAGCTCCAAGAGCGGCTGCCAACTCACCTGCTGCTGTGTCTGCATTAATATTGTAGGATTGACCCCTCTTATCAGCTGCAACAGACGCAATCACTGGGATATGGTAATTGTCAATGAGAGGACGCAGTACACTAGGGTCCACACTAGCAATGTCACCAACAAAACCAAGTTGTTCAGAGTTGGGGGAAGGACGTGCAGTTAAAAGGTGGCCGTCAATTCCTGATAACCCCACTGCAGTTGCCCCAGCCTTGTTAATCAAGGAAACCAAATGTTTGTTGACTTTACCCACCAAGACCATTGATACAATCTCCATGGTTGAGGCATCAGTGACACGAAGGCCATTCAAAAAGTTAGGTTTGATACCTAATTTACCAAGCCATTGGTTGATTTCAGGACCACCCCCATGGACAAAGACAATGCGCATACCAACACAGGAAAGAAGGACAAGATCAGCAATAACAGAGGCCTGAAGTGCCTCAGATTTCATAGCAGCTCCTCCATATTTCACTACAATAGTCTTGCCTCGAAATTTTTGAATAAATGGTAGTGCTTCAGAAAGGATTTTCACTCGGGTTGCTCCAGGGTAAGATTGAGTATCAGGTGCAACGACGGATTCCAACGAAGTTTTGAGGCATGAGGCCTGAAAAGGGTTGCTAAGAATGTTTCGATTGGCTTTGATAGCTGGAATGGATTTTGGAAAAATGAGACTGGAATCTGGAAAGTTGGAGACTTTGGTGACTGGGGAAGAGAGTGGGAGGGTTTTAGCAGCCAACATCCTCTATTCCTTTACTTCCTCCCCTTCTCTATTGAGTTTAAATAGCAGGGGAAGTGTAACACTATAAGTTCTTAAAGACCGTTCGTTTAACGGGGTCAATGCATCAAAGAAACCTGCAACCAAAACAAGCCATCAGTTAGCACTTGAACCTCAAAAGTATCCCACATAAGAAAAATATACTTGAAAACCAGCATATTTGAGAAAGCCCAAAAACATAATTGGGAAGAAATCAATCAAATTAGATACATAAGATACTCTAACAAAATTCAAAAAAATACCAATGAAACCCTCTAGGTTCATCAATAAGAGCAAAGTTTCTTAATTTTCACAAAGTTATGAAAAGAAAAGTAACACAAACACATTAAAACAGAGGGAGCAAAAAAAAGTAAGCTACTAACCCAATAGATTAAAACAACTCATATGTAATTCAAAATTCACAACAAGACTTAGCATATACTGGCTAAATCGGTCTCTAACTGGCATTTCATCAAACAGGTAATAGCAGTAGAATCAGAGACATTTCATACAATTAAAACTGAGCATATAACTGTCAATCAGAAACTTAAACATCATACAATAATCCGTTCAAATACATTGAAATCCGCATATCTATATTTTGCGATTAGGCACAAATCCCTAGAAATAAATTCCAGAAGAAGAAGAAGACATTTAAAGGGTTAGTGTACCTGGAAACAGTGCGTGTCTGTGTGTGTGCGGCCGTGAAAGAGAGGAGGCGGCTGTCTAGAAACGGGAGCTCAATTTTCTCTTCTCCGATAGAAAGATTCTACAGAAAAATCTGTTGTTTAAATCATTTGTGTTTAGTAGTAGTAGTAGTAGTAGGTGGTGCCTAAATTATTAGAAAAAGTAAAAGAAGAGATAAATGAGATTCATGTGGGAAAAATACATACAAAATAGTCCTTCATGTTTAAAGGCTGTCCAAGGAGGTTCAGGTGAACACTTTGAGATGTTATGATGGGTTTGATTTATTTTGATTTGAATGTAAATTAAAATAAGCACACTATTCAAATTTTTAAATTATAAATGGTCTTGAAATAAAAATTTAGAATTGTCTTTAACTCATGCTTGGTTATTAATCTTGAAATAAATTATCATGCAATGATAAAAATAACTTGAGGTCCCTCAAATCTTTTTTCACGGTAAATTGTATTTTTATAAATAAATAATTGCTTCTTAGAAATCATGTAAGTAAATGTTATTTTTAATACAATAAACCAAATCGTTAGTAAGAAATAATACCCGGATAACTAATCTCATCATAACTAATAACAACATAACTTGTCTTTCAAACCAAGCGAAACCTAAAAGCATGGGCTAATTAAGTCTGAACCAAATCTAAAAGGGATCTCACTAACAATTACTAAAATCATGTAGTCTTCGGATTTTTTTAAGATTGTCGATGGGTATGTGTTTGATCCTTCAATGGTAAAGTTATCTTAGAAGATGCGACATAGATATAATAACATTTTTGAAAAATCCGAACAACTAGTGTCGGTGTCATTTGTCTCCAAAACCATCTAAATTCTCCTTCCTAAAAAATCTTCATATTCAGTTTACGAAATTCTCTTGGGCAACTGACGCATTTAAAGTGCTCGGTGCACCAGTACCTTTATCCCTATAAAGATTATCATCTGATGATCCCTTACCTCGAGTTTATGTGGTTCTACTATTAGAAGGTGTCGCGGACATCCCATTTCATGCGTCTCCGGTCATTTCTCAATTTTTGTGTATGATCAGTGAAAAGAGTTTCCAAGTACTAAAAGTCAGTTGCCTGGACAAAAGTATTTTGTTATGCATTAGCATGTCTTAAGGATGTTGGTGCTATCTTATGAGTTATGTGAATCAAAGCTTCTTATCAAAGTAGTTAAAATGTTGAATTCTAGGGTGATATACATTTTAACCATTTAGTTTAATCTTCATTTCTTACACCTTATGCTTTGTTGTGAAATAGGGAAGGAAGACGGGAAAAGAGAAGGGACAGTTGAATGTAAGATATGTAATGGAGAAAGTAATTTAAAGAAGGGGATTTGGGAAAGACATAAAAGAGAAAACTTTTTGTTTCTTGTTTGGTTAAAAGAAGTAAACAAGATAGTAGGAAAGGAGATCATTCTCTTTTAAGAAAACGACGTGGGGGGAAGTTATGAGTTGGAGTATTAGATTGCTCTTCTTTCAAACTCTCTAAATATTGGTTTGAGGGTGGTGTTCATGCCAGTCTGGGTGCACCTAGACTCATCTACCAAACAGCTTGTTACCACCCACAAGCGGAGGTGTTGAGTTAACTCTCTTCAAGTACGCCCAAGCATGTTTCTTATCTACAAGTGTCGAGCTCATCGAGTTTTGGGCCTGAAAAGCAGTTTTTGGCTTCATTTCTTTCCAAATTGCAATAGTGGGCATATTTGTTGAAACAGTAGTTCACAAGAATGACAAAAGAAGGTAACTCTTGAGCAAATCCCCTTCACCTACCTCTACTGCCCAAGCTATGTATACCATAACTGACTATGTTTTTCAAGCTTATTGTCCTCGAGACTCGAACGAAGGAGCTACTAACCTAATAGATTAAAACAACTCATATGTAATTCAAAATTCACAACAAGCCTTAGCATATACAGGCCAAATCGGTCTCTAATTGACATTTCATCAAACAGGTAATAGCAGTAGAATCAGAGACATTTCATACAATTAAAACTGAACATAGCATACAATAATCAGTTCAAATACATTGAAATCCGCATATCTATCTATATTTAACGATTAGGCGCAAATCCCTAAAAATAAATTTCAGAAGAAGAAGACAATTATAGGGTTAATGTA